ATTGGAACAGGCTGCCCAGGGAAGTGGTTGAGTCACCATCCCTGGAAGTATTTAAAAGACGTGTAGATGAGGTGCTTAGGGACATGGTTTAGTGGACATGGTGGTGTTGGGTTGACGGTTGGACTCAATGATCTTAGAGGTCTTTTCCAACCTTAATGATTCTATGATTCTATTAAAAACAACATATTGTATTGAAACATTTTTTCAAATAAAATTAATTTCAAACCAGTACGTTATCTCTCCAGCAGGTCCCAACAATTACTTCCCGAGTTTAGTTTTTAGTCTCAGTTTCATGTTGTACTCAAAGTCCATACCTCAAGAAAATCAACATAACTATGTAAACAGTGTGAGGTCAGCAAGGGGAGAACAAAACATCAATCTGAATGCAGAAGAAAGAAAACTGCTTCTTTAGTAGTGAAATTATTAAGTTTCTTTTCAAACAGCAGTTCTTTGGAACTTATGAGAAGAGAACAGACCCTGATTCAAGTTAGCTAATAAAGGTGAAATACCTCAAGGGATTCTTGTCTTCTTTTTGATATAAATTAAAGCCTTGGTAAAATGGATGAAATTCCTTTCTATCGTAATCCTGCATTTTTATGTAAAGGATGACTCTTGTAGTACTCACTCAAATGGCAATCACAAAACTGCCTTAAGATTACTTTCAAGAATTTTTCATAGGCTTATTGTAATGAGTGAATTTTCACACAAATAAACTCCATCATTGTTCTCTGAAACGCCACCATACTGTTACATACAGTTACCAAACCACTGTTCTTTCCCAATTTTGAGTAGCCTAAAACTATAGATGTGTATTTTAAATTTCCTCACTTAGAACCAAGAAATCATGGAATGTTAACAGTAAGTAATAATAGATTGGTGATAATAATAAAAGATTTATAGTTTTTAAATAAATATCTTGACTTACAGCTTAAGATAATTATGCTGTCAATTTCCTGTTCATTTGGTATCTTTTCTTAACCAATTTTGAGTAGCCTAAAACTATAGATGTGTATTTTAAATTTCCTCACTTAGAACCAAGAAATCATGGAATGTTAACAGTAAGTAATAATAGATTGGTGATAATAATAAAAGCTTTATAGTTTTTAAATAAATATCTTGACTTACAGCTTAAGATAATTATGCTGTCAATTTCCTGTTCATTTGGTATCTTTTCTGAATTAAAATGGCAAACGTTAAATTCTACTGTTATGTTGTACTTCAAAAGGCCTCATGTACTTTTGCAGTTAGCAATGCAATGTTTTCTGCCCAATACTTACTATAAATTAACCATCTAAAGTTTATTTCAACATCTAGCAATATTTTACAGAATATAATCTATTACTATGCCAAACAGAGGTAACAATTGTTATCTGTTTTGCTGCTGACATTAAACAGAAATGGTAAAGTGCACGGTCCTCTACAGTACTCACATTTTCAGGTATACTAGGAAGCTCTCTGATGTCAGGCACAGTAAAGTATGAGTGCTAAAAAAGAGCAAATATTGATTATTGCAATATTGTCAAAAGCAATCTAAATTTATTGCTTGGTATTAGTAACAGCAGTAATAGCAGTTGCTCAGCTAAGTAAAAATGACAGAACATTTGTTACCAACTACCAGTATGACTTCTTTGTCATGGATTTTAACAGCTGGATTCTCAGATCACACATGCAATATGAAATGCATTAAGATAGAAAGTATCAAATGCTCCTGAAAAGTTATATTACATTTTTTTGTTCTTCAGAGACGCTGATACAGACAGACTCACACAATGTATGACATATGCCAAGGAAACTCCAAGGCAGGCTATAATTCAAGCCATCTTTCCACAGCCCACTGCAGGTTGCATGACAGACTACAGGAAACAACAGCAAGCAGGTCCTTTTCTGACTTACAGCATCAGTAAGTTTCATTCAAGACCATGGTGAAGTTACAGAAATTTACTGAGAAATACTTCCTAAAGTTTTATGCCTACTTACCTGAAAAATATTACTAAAGTTCTAGGTCACTTTTATACGCCTTAAAAAACACATTTTGAAAGACTATATTGGTCTCGCAATTTCATAATCCATTGTATTGTTACATTTTTTTAATTGTCTGCGTTCCAAGAGACCAGGTTCACTCTAGTTCCCAATCTGACTGTGCACGACTTGCACGATTCTTGGTTAGGGCTTTTGGAAAGGAGAGGAGAGAATGCGACTAAACTGCTTTTGTAAATCAGTGTTGTATACAATTTGTATTATTTTTAAGATATTCACCATTTGTCTTAGGGTTACTTATTAATTACTTGCTGAAGCTTTAAAGGCTGTTATATTCTTGGCATAGTTCCACAATTAGCACAATTTTCTTGTATATATATCTCAGACATTTCAGTGCTTCATGAACAGTCTATAACCCGAAATAGCAAGCGGGTATAACAGCTACACTGAATATAGACACTAACTGTATTAACACAAATTTTTGCTTTTTGATATATCACTGTTTTAGTTTGGTCAAAAAGATGCAATGCAAAGATACAGGAATAGTATATGCACTGTATCAGATATAGGAACCTCACCCCGACCCCAAAACAGGCTTGTAAATAGCCAAAATAAAATGCGTAAAGACACCACAGCTAACAGTCCCTTGGCTGCTTTTTTATATCCTTTCTTGCTTCATCGCCCATGAAATGTCTGAGACAAGGGGGGACTGGCAGCATTCCTTGAAACCACTGGTGTGAAAAAACTGAAATATCCCAACTGATCATTGCCTTTTGAGACAGCTCGTCCCCTTAAACAGAAATGCTGTTCAAAAAAGAGATAGCCTCAAGAGGACTGGGACATTTCTACTGCCAGCTGGTGACCTAGCAAGGCCAAACAACTGTTACCTGTCGACTGACATTACAGGGTGAAGTGATGAGAGTAAGCTGCTTGTTGCCAAAAAGGACTTTAGAAGGAGTAGTAAAGGAAATGAGAGGGAGAAGAGAACTGTGGCTGCACACACCACTAGTTTCCACGTGGACTCTAAATGACTAACTGGCAACATGCAGCAATGTGCATCTTAAGTATTTTTCCACTACAGCCTGGAACACAAGGTTGTTCTGCAAAAATTAATTTGAAGACAAAAACCCCAAAAGACTAAATTCAAAATAGAATCCCATCAATAAAACCCCACATCTATTCTTTCAGTGTTCTTTGGTTAATTTTCTCACAAGATATAAAAAATAAATAAATCCTTTTTTGTGTGAGTTTTTTTCTTGGGGGGAGGAAGAGGAGAAGGAATCAGAAAATGTGATAAACAGTTAATACTCAAAACGCTGCGATGACAGGTACGTGACTGTTTGCTGTCCAGTCTTGTCCCCCTTGCATACTTGCAAGACCTAGGAGTTCTGCAGAAGTGTGGGCAATAAACGTCATGTTGCTGCTCTGTGACCTCTCACAGGTCACAGATGATATGGTGAGAAATTTCCACAGGGAATATACACAATCTTCCTCCAATCAAAGAACAGCATTTCAAAGACATTTGAGGTTAAGGAAAGGGAAACAGAGGGCCCCAAATGTGAAAAGGGGAATTTCACAGCTCTGTGTCCTCACAGGAAAACAACATCTGTGTACCAAGTTCCAAAAAGGGGAATTGCTTTTGACATTCCTCTATTATACGTAATGAAAATTAAACACCTTAGTTTACATCTCTCCTGCTTCACTTACCACTCCAAGATGAACAGAGGTTCCTGGCTCAGGGATAGTAAGTTTATGAAATGTTTCTAGGAGCTCACTCCTTTGACTATCCTGAAATAAGAAGGAGAAAAGAGAAAAAAAAAAAAAAGGAATACTAAGTAGGCATTGCTATAACAAGCTAAACTCCAAGACAGAAGGGCAATGTTTGTGGAATTGCAAGTGTAAAAAAAAATGTGAAAATAGATTTATACATTAGACTATGAACAGAAATAAATGTAGTTTCGTCTAACAGCTGGGTTTTATAACATGATTTTTTAGAAGACTTTTTTTTTCATATGTATTTCTACATATTTCTGCAACCTACTGAGTCACCAACCTATGCACTACATAGTTACTCAGCTCAGAGCAAGCCGGTTTTCACTGCAAGTTCTTTAGAACAACTCATTAGCTTAGGGTAAAGCCAAATGTATTTAATCCATCTAGATGAAGATGTGATCCTAAGTGCTTCTACCTCAAATGCGAATGATTCCGACATGCAAAATACATTATTACCACAAAATGGTAATAAATCAAAGCAGTAACATAACAGGGAAGATTATACTTGTAATATTTTAAATACTTGAAACTAGGCTAGGCGTTGCAATCATATATGTGATTTCTCTGTATCATGAATTATCATTTATAAACCCAGAAGCAAATTTTAATGGCTTAGTTCACATTTTTTCACTGTCTCAAGACTGAATTTTACTTTGTTTTGCTTTAAAAGCAAAACAGCATCTGAAGGGCTTAGGCTAGTTGATGCTATGTGGGTAAGCATTTTGCATCAGTAAGCTTAGTTCTACACTAACTTTACATGAGAAGTAAACTTGGATAAGACATCTGTCAAAGATTCATGAAACACTGCAACACGGGAATTGCATGGATGTGCTGAATACAGTTCAGGTAATCAAAAAGTCTACACAGTATGGATGATTGCAGGGAAACCATTAACTTGTGTTGGATCCACAGTCACATTCCTGGACTTTATCTTTTCCAAAAAATAATTTAAAAGTGTATTTATTTTTCCACAAGCACTTGCCAGGCATTCAGCTTGGCTGAATATGATCTTCTATATTACTGCATCATACAGATTAATAATTCACATGGTCATCTCTGATATAAGCACTTCTTAAAACAGCTTGTTTTCATCCTCTCTCCCTCATTTGATATCAGGGCAGGGAAAGAAGGGCTAGTACTTCAGAGTATTACCTGTCCTTTTGCTGAATAATCTGCCAAGACATTGAGCAGCTTATAAAAGACTTCAAACCATGGAAGGTAACTAAAAAAAAAAAAAAAGAAAAAGCATACATTTAACTTGCTAAATCTCAGGCAATTAATCCAAGATTGCTGGCCTTTATATAGATCCATCCTAACAACAGCCTCCACTAGACATGACACTTTGTAAATATCTGTTAGGAAAGCCACATGAGACCTTCCTTCCATTTGAAGGAGAACACTGCCAGAAGGTTGAAGCATCCCTTTCCTTTGAGGACTGAGCTTCAGTATTTACTCTTCCCCAGCATTTCCAGCCACCTGTGGGCACTAAACATCAAACGTAGCACCAGCTGCAAACAAACTCGGGTATCAGGCAGGCCAGTGGTGGGAGCTCACCTTCCTTCTCACCCTGTACAGAACAAACGTACAATCCAATGGAAGTTTTTAATCTGTACGATAAATGTACACTAAAGTATCTATGTTCACGTATGGTGGAACATTTTTAATCATAATTATTTCCCAAAGTACATGTTAAATAACTAGTCTTCTGTACAGCTGCTGAGAGCCCTAGTAAACTGAAGACAGACAGTTGTTTTGGTTTTGAATCCTGATACAACTGGATTTTTTAAACTGCATAACCAGTATCTCATTTTCAACTGTTGTCAAATCTTATTCCACATCCTGTATCATTGTATTTAGCCCGGCCCTTAGTTAAGTCAAATAGAAACTTTACCTTTAGTAAATTTGTACTCAACTTACAGAAGTAATAAAGAAACAAAATTAAAAGACAAACATGCAGAGAAATCACACCTTTTTCATTTACATTACACTTCCATTCCATAAAATAAGACAGACAGCTAAGATGTTACTTTTCACTACAGAATGCTTTGGAATGATTTTATGCCCTATTTTCATGACACAGTTCTTTATTTCAATTCCTTTTTAAATACCGGCAAGGAATTTCCCCTCAGCTGCAGCGAATAGGAAAGCAAGTTTATGTGACGCACAAACTGCTTCTCTTAATCACAGATGCTTTCTGAAGCAAATGGATTCTATTTTGATATAGTTAGACAGGATTTAAAGTTTTTATAAAATATGACTACATCCTGACAACTATAAAGAATTGAGTGCCCCATGGTTCCTAACTGTACAGCTTTCGGTAATAAATGAAGTGAGAAGCTATATATGAGACAGATAAAGTGAATGGCACTCCATCATTAACATTTGTTTGAAGCCTGCAAATGCTACTGTAAAATGTAAGTAGCTTATCAAAATATACTGATAAGCAACTTAACTTTTCATGTTATATGACAGTATTATCATTTAAATTAATATGCTCTAAGCATCTTTACAAACTATGTATTAGAATAGAGCAGAAAGACAATTACCACTTTAAACAGCATTTAAGTTTGGCATTATATTGTAAACAATCAAGAAGGATTAGTTAGAAGATAAGTTTCTTTCTTTCTGTTTAGTTAAATAAACTTCAGCAGAGTTAAAAGCCATTACAAGAGTAACAAGAAATCCTCTCAAAACATATCTGCTAAGTAGAGATTAAGAACCTGGTAAACAAATCCTTGCAAGGCATCTATCAAAAGAGTTTGAAAAGACAGAAAACCAAGAAGGCAGAAAGCTCCCTGACAGTATGAAACCAAAACTTATTTCAGGAAGGCATATTTAAAGTTCTACTTAATTGCTCAGAGACCTTGCTGGAAAACTACATTTACAGAATTAAAATGAGAATCTTTTAAAATATTATTGTGTTTATAATATGTGTGTCAGTATAAAAGCAATAAACAAAAGCAAGTTACCTCAGCTTCTAGTTTGCCAGAGCTGCACTTCATTTACAGCCCCAAAGCCTGTGAGTGAGGACAGACCAGGTTCTCGGCACCGTTTGCAACAAGGGGTGCATGTACCCAACAGGGACAATGCTGAGCTCTGAAACCAAGGTCAGGTTGTGTTCCTTCTTCAGAGATTTACTTATCTGTCCTGTCGGGGGCCTGTTTGTTCACAGCTAAACCTTACCTCACTACAGATTCAAGGGAGTTTTCTTTATTACTGCAATACACCAAACATGACAAATCTGTAGGTTCTATCCGTGAGAATAATCCATCCAAATCCAATTTTAATTCTTTCGCTCAGCACCTAGAAAACAGCTTCTATGATTCTAATAAAAATAACCCAGATAAAGTCTCATATTCACACAATGTTGAAAATCAGCAAACCCTCCATACAGCAAAAGGGAAGGTATAACCCTATTTCTGTTATACTTGCTCATTCCTTGTTGGCTTTCCCTTTTCTCTTTACTATTATCGTATAATGAACTTCATTATTGCCCTTTGTTTAACACTAACTCTTCCTTATTTTAATCCATGTTTTCCAAATAATGGTTTAGCATCTCAGCATAACCACTTCTTTTTCTTATTTTAAGAATAACTTTCCATTTTGAGGAGATAAGCTTCATAGTTTTGAAGTTGAGGAAATTAGCGGATATTTGAAGCAGACCTCAACACAACACAATACACGGGGATCTGTGTAGCTCTTGCTCTAGAGAGGTGCAAGACAAGATAAAACAAACAAACCCACCACAATTAGCATCTCAGCATAACCACTTCTTTTTCTTATTTTAAGAATAACTTTCCATTTTGAGGAGATAAGCTTCATAGTTTTGAAGTTGAGGAAATTAGCGGATATTTGAAGCAGACCTCAACACAACACAATACACGGGGATCTGTGTAGCTCTTGCTCTAGAGAGGTGCAAGACAAGATAAAACAAACAAACCCACCACAAAATTGCATAAATTATGTGTTCAATCTCAGTTCAATTTTCACCTCCCTCCTTTGTCACTGCAGAATTCAGGATCTCTCTCATCCTGAAAGCTTTGGATACATTAGAAAACTAATTTATCCTGCCATCTTCAATACTTTCGCTTCATCGCTTATTCCATGTGTTTACTACTCAAGAGTGAAACAGTTCTGTTTCTATTAGACCAAACTGTGACCACCTAATATTGTGTGTGTGTGTGTGTGTGTGTGTGTGTGAAATACCAAGAAATACAGTTAGCTAAATTTGTTTCTAGATCTCTGCCAAAAGGAAAAAATAAAAAAGAGGTGGATTTTTTCTTACAAAAAGCAAATCCTCGAGGCAGCCTTTAAACACCCCCTCCAAAGAAACAGAGGTTGAATTTATAACCAAAAACTTTCTGTACCACATGCAACTTAAGTAGCACAACTGGTAGCACTACAGAAGATTTATGGCTTATGACTTGCTCATATTTAATTTGTAACCAAACACTTCCCCTTCCTCTTAGCTACCTTAGAACTTTTGATTAACTCTTGTTTTCACAGGTCATAGGTTAAACAAAGGAAGGGAAGCGCTCTGGAGTGAAATTGCCCAGAGCACCATAGCATGCGAGCACATGCACGCGTGCACATACACACACACCCACCCCCCTTCAAGCAACATCAAAAAAGCGATAGACTAGAGATTCTTCAAGGGAGTTGAAGTTCAAAGACTCCAATAAGCATAAATCAGATTGTGGTTGAAGAGTAAACAAAAATAAAAGGGCAATCTGAAATTTTAATTTTTTTTTAATTTTACACCCATTTTCAGTCTCCTCACAGACTTGTATACACACTTATAGTGACATATTTGCCAGAAATCACGAGAATCAAATCAAAGCCTAATCAAATTAGGCTTCTTCAAGCTGAGAGATCAGTTTAGCACTCTGCTTTTCTCTCCCTCTGAACCTTCAGTGTGCGATGCAGTCTGAGTGCTGGAGACAGGCCAGTCTGACGGGAAACAAATATGAGCACAGGAAAACTGCTTATTATGCTACATAAGGTCTGCACAAACTCTACTGCACAAGTTGCACAGTACCTTATTCAGTAACTCATATGTCATCACCTTTTTAGTGCACTCCTTGAAAATACAAAACATCATTAGTTACATGTGTCATAGCAATTAGGGTCAGTCAAACCGTTAAGACAACAGCACTGCATTGCAGCTTGTAAATACAAATGCTTCCAAAATGTAGCGTTTAAAGAACAGTGGTGCAAAAACAACTGACAAGCCAGGCTGAGACAACAGGAAAGATATAAAAATAAGCAAATTAGCATGATAACAAACCCCAGCAATCCCTGTGGGTAGGGTGTTTGCAGTTATGAAGAGGTTCACCTTTAATGGAGTACACTTGCAACAAGAAGTAGAGGCTTTTGTACTCTGACTCCACAGCAAGCTGAGGGGGATGGGGGAAGGCAGAAGGATGCAGATGACCGGTGCACCAGCAGCTGCAAAAGGTACAACGCGCCAGCCAGCACTGCTCTCACAAGTCCAATCTATACTTCAAAAGTTACACTGAACAGAAAATGTCATCACCCAATATTAGCTGCTACACAGATGAAAATGCTGTACTGCAGTCAATTTAGCTTTGAATTTTTCAACATATTAATCCACTTGTGCGCTTTAACATACGAAAGGAAAAAACTACTCTCTCACAGCAGCACATGTGAGGTCACATTTTCTGACCTCCAGAAAGGACTGCAACCAAAATTGGAGAATATTAAGCTAGCCGTTTTGAAATGAAGCGACTGCATTTATACGCACATATATATACACATGTACACACACAACCCATGCTTGTATGCACACATACGTGTGCATATTGTCATTCCACAGCAAGAAGGATGCAGTAAGAGATGGCCCAATAGAACTTCCTTTAGTGATACTAAGTTGCCAACAGCAATGAAATTAGGCAGAAAAGTGGATTTCCAGGATCCTCCTACTCTCATTAAACACTTAATATGAAAGCTTTTATTTTTTTTTTTTTTTTTTTTTTTTTTTTTTTTTTTTTTTTTTTTTTTTTTTTTTTTAATAATTAAAAAGAAATCCCCCCTCCAGCTGACTCACACTAGGGAACATTAATTGAAACTAACACTTCAAATTTAGCCAGGTCAAATAGTACCTATGGATATAAAGCAGAAAGGCCACAGTAGCACACCAAAAAATGACACCTCATTTTAGTCTATTACTGGTCCAAGCCCTCTTCTAGCCTGTTTGACATG